CTGAAATCTCACAGATATCATGCATTGGATCTAGCATGATATGTGAATTATGCCGAAAATATCTAATTCGTAAAATCATGTGACTAGACACTATACTCTGATCATCTTCTCTAGTAGTTTGGTTCAGCATTCTCTCTCAAGTTATTTAATTTTCAGCCATGCATAGATCTTGAACAGATCTGGAATGTCGCATCGCGATCTTTTTCTTCTTCTTATTCTCTTTAATTCAGCCTTGTATGGATCTTGAACAGATCTGAAATACCGCGTCGCGATCTGCCTCGCACATATCAGATTCGTTCGACACTGTGCACAATTTTTTTTTTCTTTGGTTGCACTCGTCGCACGACACATTTCTTCTTCTTCTTCTTCTCCTTCTTTTTCTCATTCTTCTCCTTCTTCTTATTCTTCTTATTCTTCTTTTTCTCCTTATTCTCCTTCTTATTATTCTTCTTCTCCTTCTTTCTCTTCTTCTTCTTCTTCTTTTCCTTCTTTTTCTTCTTCTTCTTTTCCTTCTTTTTCTTCTTCTTCTTTTCCTTCTTTTTCTTCTTCTTCTTCTTCTCCTCCTCCCTTTTCTTATTATTATTATTATTATTGTTATTCTCCTTCTTTTTTTTCTTCTTCTTCTTCTCCTCCTCCTCCTCCTCTTTCTTCTTAGTTTTCTCTTTCTTCTTTCTCTTATTCTTATTCTTTTCATTCTTATTCTCTTTCTTCTTCTTCTCTTTCTTCTTCTTCTTCTTCTTCTCCTTCTCTTTCTTTTCCTTCTCATTTTCCTTATTCTTCTTCTTCTTCTCCTCCTCCTCTTTCTTCTTTTCCTCCTTTTTTTTTTCTTTTCCTTCTTCTTCTTTTGCTTTCCCCGTTTTTCATGACTCTTCAAATTCGACATAATCTCCCTTCCTCCATGATATATTCTTGAACATAAGCTTGAAAGACTTACATGATTTTCTTGACCCATGATCTAGCAAGTGATCCACTTGGCATAATGATATTCTGCCTATGTGCCTCTTCTGTATCTTGAGTTGAGTTTTGATCTCCATTAAACCTTAATAGAGTTTGTGTATTTCCATTTTCTATAGAATTCGAAAAATTAGTGAGGTATTTATACATTAAGTACAAATGTGATGTATTTACAACATGGTTGGACCTTATCAATTTTTCGTTAAACCTAATACACCTATATATACATCAAAATACATGCATTCCTCACGTGCAACATTTATGAGTAGTACATACCACTTTCTTTGATCCACGGGCTTAGCTTTTCGGGCCTTGGATTTGTTAACAACCAAACTTTTTTTTAAAGAATTTCCTCCTCAATATTGTAATTTTTATTAATATATTTTGAAAATAAAAGTTACTAACTCAGAAATAAGTTTAGGCTTCATCATCATTTTTGAATTAAATTACGTCCTATGGAAAAAAAAAGTAAAATCTAAGACTTGAAAAAAATGCTGTTTTTTTAAATGCACGTAGTCTTAAAAGCCTGCACAATTATTAAATAATACAGAATTTTCATGAATTATAAAACTACCGAACTACTAAAATGTGTCTAATTACAACATACAGAAATGAAGATTCATTGAAGGCCCAAAGTGGCCCACCTATGAGCCCATCAGAGAGTGAATATTAAAAATTCAAATAAACATTAAATTTAATTAATAAATTTAAATATTAAAAAAAACAAACATAAAACGGAGTCGGGTTAGGTAATTGATTGGGTGCGTTTCAGGAAGAAAGAGGGTTCTGGGAAACACGAAAGAGGTAATCCGAGAAGAAGATGGCGTGGGTATGGCTTGAAGCAGCGCTGCCACTGGGCATAATTGCTGGAATGCTGTGCGTAATGGGCAACGCTCAGTATTTCATCCACAAAGCCGCTCATGGCCGGGTATTTTTCCTTTGATTTCTCACTATTTCCGTTCATTGCTAGATCTGATTTCTTTATCTCTATGACTCAGAAATTTATTTTCAATTTCAAATTCTAATTGCAATTTATTCACAGCCCAAGCACATCGGTAATGATGTCTGGGACGTCGCCATGGAAAGAAGGGACAAAAAGCTCATGGACAATCTCTCTGCCCCTTCCTCTTAAATCCATCTTTTATTTCTTCGGGTATGCTGCCTCTTTACTTCTTTTTTTTGGGTGGATTAGTTGATATTATAAATCTTGAATCAGCGGATCTCTTAAGCAAACCCGACTTAGCTTTTCTCTAATTTAACTTTAAAAAAACAGTGGACGACTGAACTCTGAGTCTCAAGCTCTATAGGAGCTGATTATAACCAGAACAACAAACAGCCTGATGGCTGAAGGAGTGTCTTTCAATTTCTTCATGATCTTACAACATGTTTGGTTACATCTAATAATTTTGTAATGTAATGCAATGTAATATAATTGATTACATAGTTGACAGGCTGGAATCACGCATTGCTTATATGGTTATACAGTGAAAACAAACAAGAGAATGAATTTTATTACAAACTTCCATTTTATCGGTTATTAGAGGGAATTAAATGATGTAGAATGGATTAGCAATAGATTCTTACATAAATTAGAAATTGTAGTTATATTAAATATAAAACAACTATACTATTTAGGAGTTTATTATTATATTATTTAGGAGTATTATTATAGTTTTAGTAACTTAGGAATTTATTTTTATTAGAGTTAGGAGTTTATTCTTACTATATTATTTTCTATTTGTATTAGGATTAATATTCTTAATTCTACTATGTTATTATTTTATATTTTAATTCTAGTTAGGAAAATTTACTCACGTATTATTATAAATAACTTTATAATATAGTTGTTATTCATTCAAATACTCAATAATATTTTGAGAGTTCTTTAATTTTCTGGTTGTGTGATGCAATCAAAACCCTTATATAAGATATTTGATAGTTCTTAGATGTGATGTCTTAGAAACCTTAGGTCTGGTGTCTAAGTGTTTTTATCCCCAAAGTCGTAACCGGAGAAATCAACCCTATCTGTCCTATGTTTGCTTGATATCAGAGCTAAGAAAATCACACACCCTTCAAAAAAAAAAAAGAGAATCACGCACCCAATTCTCAAGACCTTATAGCCAAGCGGTCCCAAACCCATCTGAAAACAATCACCAAAAAAAAAAAAGAAAAACCTCAAACAATCGCCAATGTCGTTCACTAGCCACTTGCTAGAGGTGGTCGACCCTGCCATTGCTACCAGCTCTAGAAGGTCCATACCAAAGAGCCCTGAAGCCCCACCATGAAACTCCACTCAAAGTTGCTGCACTTGCTGGCACAAGCTCACACAGCCACTGCTTCTCATGAACCTAGACTTATGCATCGTCGCGTTCCACACTGGCTTCCGATATGAGATCATCACCTTTAGTTGAGCCGCTTGCTAGATGGCTGCCACCATTAGGTGACTGGAAGTTGATGCGTGAAGGCCACACACTAGCAATTGTGAATAGACGTTGTGCAATCTATTCCATTTTGGCTTCTTCATGAGTTTCTGGTTCAACTAAAATTTTCTATAGAGAAATTGGAATGGTGACCAATGTTGAATTAAATGTTAAATTTGAGATATATGAGGCAACCACTAATACTTGATTGGAAGCAATGCAAAACACTGTCAAAACAATTTTGGAAGAACTGAGGCACTTCTGCATAGCACAAGTACATCCACCAATTCAAAATGTACAAGTTAAACAAACTGTTGATAGAAGACACATTGAAGATAATGCTTGAGATCTTATCAAGAGTGTAAAGGTCGAAGCTTCTCATTTTGATGCAAAAGAGACCTCGGTTTCTTCCTTGGTTGATGGAAGAGTACTTCAATTGGTATGATATATCATATGTACGAAGAGTTCGATTTGTGAAGATGAAGTTGGTTGGACTTAAAAAGGTATGGTAGTACACTATTGACAAAAACATAACAAGAAGGAGATAACCAACAATTGAAACATGGGATGGAAAAGTATCTACCTCCCAACTACTCTGACATCTTGTGACCAAGCTGACACTTTAGTCTAGGCAACATGTTAGTAATTGAATACACAGAAATTTGAAGAATTAAAGATTCAAAGTCAACTAGTTGAAAGTGATAGTCAAGTAGCATTTGATTTAAGTAAGGACTAAGAGTTGATATTAAAAGAGAGTTAATTTGACAACTTCCTGCCACTATATCACAAATTTACCAAGCGGCTCTTGATGTGGAAGCATATTAATATTCAATCCCAATAAATATTGTGAAATCCACTCCTAAATGTGCATTCAAATAAAAAATAAGCTGAATAATTGATCAATGGCAAATTTCAAAACTCCTGAAGGTATGTGTGCTTTAGATGTAGACGAAGTGGGCATATGGGTTACGAATGTGTAACAAAGATAAAATTGCATGGTGGATTAAAAGAAAGGAGGAGGTGGAAGAAAGAGACGATAATTATGTATCTCACAGAGGATGATGATTTAAAGTGCATACTGTCAAATTCCAAAGTGGAAGAGCCAGAAGAATCACTATATCTTCTTATTGCTCAAGATCTTTCCCCAAACTCTATAGGGTAAAAAGAATCACTATATCTTCCTATTTGCTCGATATCTTTTCTCAAGAGTCAATGCTATGAAAGTTCCATCTAACAAAGGTTTGACGCACCTAATGGTCGACATGTTGATTTCGTCATCCCATAAAGATTTAATGCTTCTAAACAATTGTGAGTTTCTATTATTTTAAGTATTGGGGAGAACAACCAAAGACAGGTTGCTAAATTTTTATGGGAAAGCTCGAGTATTATGGTTTTACATCAGTTGCTATTTCAAAACTTGTGGACAAGTTTTCTCCAATTAAGAAAGATTGATATAGGATGGGATAGCACTAGATTTCTTAAATAAATTAGAAACTGTAATTATGCTAAATGTAAAACAACTATACTTTTAGGAATCTATTATTATTTATTAGTAATATTATTATAGTTTTAGTAACTTAGGATTTCATTCTTATTAGAGTTAGGAGTTTATCCTTATTAGTATAATTTTCTATTTGTATTAGGATTAGTATTCTTAGTTATATTACTACTTTCTAGTTTGTTTCTAGTTAGAAAAAAGTTATTTTGAGATTATGATAATAGTTTTGTAATTTCACTTATTATTCATTCAAGTATTTAATAATATTTTTAAAGTTTTTTAGTTTCTAGTTGTGTGATAGAATTAAACCCTTAAATGTAATATTTAAGACTTCTTAAATGTGATGTATAAGAAATCTTAGGTTTGATGTTTAGGTAATTTTATTTGAAAAATTCTTAATTGGACAAATTAACCATATTTGTCCTACATCACTAAACATGCTCTTGCTTTGAAGGGAGTCTTTTGTCCTTTAATTGCTTCATTGATGGTGTAGTTTATAGTTCATTAAAGCCCCTTTCGTTTTTTATTCTTTTTTTCCTCTTTGTGGTGGTGGTTATGTAGTTTAAATTTCATCAATTTGCACCCTCTTCCATCACTACCATGTCAGGTCTCAACCATATGCCACCTTTTGATTCGTGGCTATCTTTGGAGAGGCATAAGCCATATGGTTTCCTTTCTTCCCACTCTCATAGATACATAAATAATTGATGGAAATGAAAGAAATGAAGGAGTGATATTTCTTTTCTTGGTTTACCCAACCTATCAAATGAAGAGACAGTGCACTTTTTCTTCTCTCCAACTGGATGGAAGTCATCTTTAACTTTGAGTAACTGTTCTTGCTACCCTGTTAATGTCTAGTATTGCTATGCCTGTAATCTGTAGGGGTAGTACCTTGTGTTTGTTTCTTAACAACTTAGATTGCTTAACCATATCAGAAATGTACATACATCTTTTTTGCTTCCCTTGTCAGTTCACCGAGCAATGAATGTGGAATCTATGACATTTCTAATGCAAATTAAGACATAAGGATGCCAGATACAGAAACAGATTACGAGTATATGATAAAAATTATATGCAGCGGAGCAAGGGGGTAGATCAGCGATTGGTTCTTCATTATCTTCCTTATCTGGGGGGCATGAAAAGAGTGAATTCCATATACTGAGTAAGGAAAATAATATTTAAATAACACCATAAGATTTTAAAGGTGAATAATTATGTCATTGATACTTACCATTATGTCATTGATACTTACCATCAGGTCATGTTAGAATCCTATCTTACTTTATAAAAACAATTTTATTTATTATCATATCATAGTCACAATTATCAAATCAAAATCATACTTAACAACAGACAAAATCAAACAATTATGAAATGCTTAGATTTTCGTATCATGCTTCGCGAAATCGTTTCAACTTCCATCTCTAAGAGCAGATACGGATTTTCGATTACGTATGTAGAATGATCAGATCAGATATATAACGGCAATTTGCTCAAGCACTTTTCCGATTTGCCAAATTATGGTACGATCTATAATCACGGCCGTACCAACTACAGTTGGTCCTATAAGATATTTTATAGTCACGGCAGTACTTAACCAAAGGTGACTCTTACCAGATATTCACATCACCGCTCTCGTCAGAGGATACGTCGTCATCCATAGGAAGTGATCATCTCACGTCTTTCTAAACCAAATGGAGGAGGGAGAAACAGATATTCCTCAAAGATAAAAGGCTAACGAGACAATTGATGCATTATGCATGTCAATACAAATACATATATTTTGGACCATTTAGGCTCATTCTGCTTCTCTTTTCTCTTTTTTTTTAATAAATATTTCAAAAAATTATCACTGGATTCATGTTATTTAATTTATATGCAAATCATTTAATTTACATAGCGGGCTTGAAATCAAGAACAAACATGCAAAACACAAAACACAAAACACAAAACACAAAATTTCATAATTTGATTTTTTAGAAATACTCTTTAAGATGTTTAAGTAAATACTAAATTTTTTACTGAAATCTTAAAATTTTCTTATACATTTCTTCTTCTTTTCTCTTTCTCTCTCTAGATCACTCCCTCTCTCTAAGCTCTTAGAGGATAGAAGAATGAAGCGGAAGTGATGAGGAAAAATGGAAGAAGGGGTACCTATTTATAGAAAATAGGGGCTGTAGGATTTGCGCCAAGTAGCAAAATTCGGTAAGGAGAGAGAGAGTTGAGTGGAAGAGAAGTGATTTGACGCGACGCGATGGCAGCGCAAAAAATGGAAGAAGAATTCCTCTACTGGTGGTGACTCTCCACCAAAGGTGGCGGCACACTGCCCAAGGCGTCACACTGCCCAAGGTGGCGCACGACGCCAAGGGGGTGGCAACACACTGCCCGAGGCGGCAGTGCGCCTCAACTAGGCTGGCTGCGCGCTACAGGCGCTGACCTACCCTGCTGCGCATAAGCTAGCTGGTGCGCATGCAGAGCCTACTGCGCACCGAGTGTAGCGCGTAGGCCTACTGCGCGGATTGCGTGTGCACAAGGTACGACGCCTGGCCCTATCCGATTTCGATGTGATGCGCGCGGACTGGCCTGTCTGCGCGAGACGTGATGCGCGCATAGACCTGCCTTGTGCCCTGCGTGGATGGATGTGTCTGGTCACTCGCGCACAGTGTATTGCGCCTGCGTGGGTGAGCCTCTCCCGCAAGCATTTTCTTGTAGGATTTCGCCTTATTTTCTGTTTTCTTCTGAAAATTATTTTTAAATTAAAAAAAATAATATATAAAATTAAATAAAAATAAAATGAAGATAAAATAATGAAATTTGAATAATTTAAAATTAGAAATTTAAATAACGAATTACGATATAAAATCACAAAATAAATTTAAATGAGTTCAGATGTTTTTAAAACTCGAATAAATAGGAATTTTCAGATATAAATTTAACGCGTTGGTGAGTGGGGTGTTTCAGAATCAATGATTGATGATCTTTTTCTTTGTCAACTACATAAATATAGCCATTTCCATCTGAAATTTTTGTTGTTTGTCTTGTGTGTCAGGCATACATCATGAATCACTTATCTGGGCCTGAATATGTCATCCAAATACTTAGGTTCCGTTATTATATGAAATTTTTTTTCATGAATATGTTTCTTTTTCTAAATTTATTTATTATTTACGGATAAAACATATTTCTAGTTTTAGGAAAGTTGGTGAAACTGCATCATTTTTTATATTAGATGTTATTAGAAAACATTTTTTTCTGAGAAAGCATTAGTTCTAATTTAAGTAAACATAAATTTTTTTCTTTCTCAGAAATGAAAAAAGAAAAATTTCTTGGGAAACAGAACTTTTCTGGAAAAAAGAAACGGGCCCTTAAGGTTTTAACAGAATTTTATTTTTGATTTCAGTCTTTGTGCACTTTGTAGCAAGTTAGTACCTTGGAATGCCCAGAATGTCAATATTAGCGAGTTAGTTTTTCTTTTTGTTTCTTTTTAAATGCTTTTTAGAAAAGTTTCTCATATTTTCTTTAGTGATATAGAAAATTCTGACCAGTGAACATACTGTAGAAAAGAAAATCAATCTTATCCGGACGGTTAACATATGATTTTCATTTATGATATCAATTATTTGTACATCATATCAAGTTAACATCTTATAATCTTATCCAGTTTTCTACACTGGCTCTTGAATAAGAAGGGTTTGAGTTTTTTTGTTTGCCAAGCAATATGGTCCAAACTCTGTTAAATTTATCCTTCCTTGTAAGTCTCTGCTTTATCTCTTCATTGGCCTCCAAACTTATTTCTGCTTGTTAAGTAATCTCTGTGTACATACGTATCTCTTAATTTCATTTGAAAAGTACGTGCAGGAATCATGCTAATGGATTTTGGAAGAAATAAAGAATGGGTAAGCTAGCCTTGAAGAATCCCGAAGGGCAACTGGAGTCATGCTCATGTCACTTTGCATGTGAAATTGCATAAGATATTTGACCTAAAGAAACGCTTGTTCTTATATGATTTAATTGCTATTATTAGCACTTCGGAACTTAGTTTGATCCTGTTTCAAGTTATCTTTGGAGATTATCATATTTTCTTTTTCTGTGTCTAAGTCTGTGTTAAGACAGAGGAAGATCAAACAAGGTAATTGACACAAACTATTGAGATCAGAAAATGTGGAAATAGCAGGGTGTTTGTCTTAGTTTATTTTAGGATTTGAGATCCTTTTTAAGCTTATTTAAAAGTGGAAGATTATGGAGTCCTGTCTTCTAGGCCTTGTGACTTCTTTCTCTTCCTCAGACTTTTACCAAATGCCTAGCTGCTCTGTTCAATGTTATATTTACAATAAATAAAGGTAAGTAAATGTCTACAAATTATTGATCATATAATAATTAGGTTTTAAATTATTTTAATTGTAATTTAATTGTTAAACTTATAAGATTATTTTAATTTGTAATTTTTTTATATACAGTGAAAAGTTTTAATAAATATTATTTTTATTTTGTCTATGTTTTATAAAACTTGACAAGTATAATAATTTAATACAAACATTAATAAAAATAAATTTAATAAAAATAATTTATTCTTTTTAATCATACACATCATAATAGCAGATATCTGAGAAGAGCAGCTATGCAGTGGCTTTCTTTTTCTTTTTTTTTTAATTTTTAATTTTAAGTTAAGTAGTAGTCAAAATTTTTTGAAATAGCAAGTATAGTGTATCAAAAGTAACAGTATTAACACTTTTCAAACCGTTTTTTGTTACTCTTTTATAAAATAATTGTATTACAAAATATGTTCTGAAATATTTTTGAAAGTTAAAAGATTAAATTGTGAAAAGAATTTGATACTTATTAAGATATTATTTATAGTCTGAAGTTGGTACTTTATTTTAGAAAGATAAATACAAAAGAATTATGAACTTTTAACCCACTAGGGCATGTATAGAGTGATATCATGGTTGAGGTGAAAATTAATAGGTCAAAATTGAAAGAAACTACTAAATTTATTATAAACCTATAGTTGGGGTTTTTAAGGGCATATTTGAATAAAAGGGAAGGAGGAAGGGAGTGAAAAAATTTTCTTTTATACGAGAGTCCATACTTTAGAGAGAATAAAGGTGGAGGATGGTCCTTCTTCTTCTATTTTCCTCCGATAACTTTTAGATTGCAATATTCTAAAAGAAGTTCAAAAAAATTAATTAGCTATACATATGCTGAATTTTCATGATGCAATGTTGATAAAAAGAGCACAAGTGGTACTTTGTAGCACTTATGAATGGTGCTTGTGTCATGGTTTTCCAAGAAATATAACCCGATTGTACTGTCAACTATTAAGGCTAAATATGTAACTATAAGAAAATGAAAAAAAAAAATGTTAGATGTAAATGTTTTAGATTAAACAACATCTAATGGATTTTGGAGTTAAGATGGATCTTATTCATATCAAATGCGATAATACTAATGCAATAAACCTGAATAAAAATTTAGTCGAACACTCTTGGCACATAGGATTAAACATTACTTTATTAGGGTCTGTGCACAAAATATTTCATTATACTAGAATTCATCCTTACTAAGGATAAACTTGTTGACATCTTCTCAAATTGTTTAGTAAAGATAGATATTGCAAGATTATATGATAACTAAGAATAAGTAGTCTAATGGAGGCTTGAGAAATGATAAAACTTTCAACACAAGTATATGACGTATACATCAGTCTTACTAGTCAATATGATCAGTATTGCTGTAGTTAATTAAGATTGTTTTGACTAAAAAATTTAGTATGACTTTAAATTAAACTTTCACCATATATTCTTCTTATAACAAAATTGAGATCACTCCATGTCAACATTTAAAAGTCAATCAAAATATCAAACGACATGACCTATCAAATTAAGTACATGTACATGTGAGAAGAAAAGTAGGATGAAGCTTAAAATTCAAATCCTCATATATTAATTAGATAGTTGACATGAGGGTAATTGAGTAAAAATTGAGAGTAAAAGGATCAAAATGCAAAATTTTAGAAATATTTGTCTTCTCTAATTTCCTAACTCTCTATCACTTAGCTCTTTTGGTGCAAAAGGTTTTTTCCTTGGTTCTCATTTTTTTAAATTATTCCTCCCTAAAACATTTGCATCAAGGTTTGATGAGAGAAGAATGAATAAAACATTCTTGAAAAACAATCTCCTCCCTTTTAGAAAAGGCACCTACTCCTCCAATGTCTCCAAGTTAGAACCCTTCTTTTCAACCTTTTTCTGTTGCAGGAGAGGATCTGGAGAGGTAACCACCTCATGGCTAAAAAAATGATGATTCTATTGACCCAATTGAATTTTTCTCTTTAAAATAACAAAAGGTCTTTTCGTATACCTCTTAAAACCCCTGTTTAACTTCACAGATAGGTAATTTAATACTTGCCCTGAATACAAATGATGCAGAATCCAATACAACCAACGTGATCAGGAACTTACATAATTTTATTTAAATGCATCAAAAGAATTGATCCTATAGAAATCCTTCATACTTAACTCGCTATCAAGAATGATAAGAACTAAGGTCACTGGAAATTAAATAAATAGAATGAAAAAATGCCATAAGGTTGTACCTTGACAAGTAGATCAACTCCTTACTTAATAAGATAGTAAAAGAATCTC